ACACAGAGCATAGGGTGTGAAAAAACCGTTAACCGAACCGAAAATCGATTCAGCAAAAATCCAAACTGAAACCGAACCGACAATGCTTAATCCAATTTAAAACCGACTGAATACCGGTTCGAAAAACTGGTTAACTGACTTGAGCCGAATTTTAAATATAAAAATTTAATCTTCTTTCAATCTAAAGCATCCCTCGAAGGCAATAGCAGATTTGATTATCTCATGATTAATCTTGGCATGGCACCTTGAAGTCTGCAAAAACTCATAACAATAAGTTCTAAACACAATAACACGAGAAACAAATTAATCAGAAATAGAGATTAGAGGAGAAGCCACGTACCTCAAAAGTTTCGTTGACGATAGGAATTTCTAGAACTAAGACTAAGAGGAAGCCGTTTCTTTCCTCTCCATTCCAAACTCAAGTTTCAGTCGCGAGAAAGAGAGAGTATGAGAATGGAATTTGAATACTTGAGAGAAGAGGAGATGACAACTTAAATGGTAAATTGGGAGAGAGAATGAAGAAGCACGAACCACGAGGTACACATCTACACATGAGATGTAGAAATGAGAGAGAGAGACGCCTAGAGGTTGGGTTGGTTTGACTTGTAAATGTACACTCTCCCATGTTCTTGACAATATTAAACAGGGGAAAATATTACTTTTTTTCTTTTTAAAAAAACTGGTTTTAAAATCCGGTTTCGGTTAACCGGTTTGAAAAAAATCTATAACCGAAAACCAAACCGGATAATCGGTTATGAAATTTTGAAAACCGAAACTGAACCGGTTTACAAAAAAATCGAATTTTCGCTCGGTTTCGGTCTGGTTTGGTTTTCGAATTTTTTTTCACACCCCTACAGAGTTAATGAGATGAGGGGAAAGATAACTAGCTCTCATTGGTCTAGCTGCGCATCATATTTGTCATAATCTCTTTCCTGCATTCATTTTCTTCATGTGTAGATGGAATAGATCAGGACCCTAGCACTACTACCCTGAACTATGATGTGTGATTGGAATCATCTTTGAACACACAAAAATACTGCCAAATTGAGTGTCAGTGTTCAAATTGTTGCTAGAAACTTTCTTCTCCCATTTTTAGTAATCTGCCAAGTAGTTCCGGCTTGGCTATCCTCTGACTTACTTCATCATAGTCTGCATTCCGTAGAATCTCATACTCATCATTCTCCACATCTCCAACCATAATATTCATATAGCATAGCATTCATGGAACCTGAAAACCTCTAACATAGATTTTTTCCTTGACTCGCGGAAGTTGGCATAAATTCCATTACAAACTTGCAAAGATTGAATGGTTGGGCTCCTTACGAATTCCTCATCCCAAAGCTTGAATCCTATCACTAACCCCAGAGGATATCTAAGAAATCAATCCTCTTTCTTCAATAAACCTTGTTGCTTCTTAACATCCAATTCTATTGCTTCTTCACATTGTCGCTCACATAAAATCATCAGTGACTTTCGCCTTTCCTCTACTACTTTCACCTCTTTCTTTCCTCTTTTCACTACTTGATGCTTCAATGGAGCCATAACAAGATTCAAGAAAATTTGAAAACCACACTTCAATCACACTCCACTTTCGGTACACACAAAAACTATCCCACAACTCAACCAAACACTCTGCAATCAATACAACAACACTCCATAACACCACAATATCACAACACAGAATATAGTACCAAAATAACTTCCAACTCCACCTCTACATTTCTCTTCACAACCACAATGATTCAACCACTCTCCAAATCACAACCAATTCAATCAATATAGCAAATAAACCAATAACCACCAATTTTTAACAATAATGAATATCAAAATCACTTCCAAAAATATCCACAATCCCAATAATGCATAAAAATCCCAATCTCAACTAACCCATCAATTTTTTCCATAAAAAGCAAATAATCAAATTAATTGAAAGGAACTCTTACTTACTACACACCCAAGCTAAATACACCTTTGATTGATGAATTTCCACAAGAATCGCACAAACCCCCCAAATTTAGAAAACGTAGGTTTTCAAAATACTTCAAAAATCGCTTCAATCCTGCAAAACAAGGTATTAAATGTGTTTAGAAGTGATAAAGTGAAATTTTGGTAGATTTAGGTTAAAAATTGGCTGAAATCGGAGAAGAGATGAAAGTTTGAGTAGAGAGAGTTCACGAAAATGAGGTGTCGGCTGCACACTTCTTTATATACTTCTAGTTTCGCTGCCGCGGAAGAAAATCTTTCTACGAAAAATTGGAAATTCGCTTTACTCTCGAAAATTTTCCCAGCTTCGCCTGGCGAAAATGGATTGCACAAATGGTCTTTTAGACTCCAGGTTTTTCGCTATGGCAAAATAAATTTTCGCCACGGCAAAACTGAAATTTCCAATTTTGCCTTTCTTTTCAACTCCCTTCCTGAAACCACAAAAACTTACATATTATTAACATAACAACACTTAGTGGTGGTTGGTTAGGGCTGTATAAAGATAACTCCTGTTATCTATCTTTTTTTTTTCAGCAATTCCTGCTTTTGGTTTGAAGGTTAAAAAAGATCGGTATTGTTTATTTACCAATAATGAACATTGTGGATCAGCTTTGGGCAATTAGATAACCTAGTCTAGGGTGGTATTCTAACATTACTGGGTTTATCTTTTTTTTTTTAAATCCAAATTTGTCATTACATATCAATCACTTGGGCAGAATTGCCTTAAATATATGCCTAGTAGAAATATGTCATTTTAGCAGAAAAAAGACATTTGTAACCTTATTTAATAATATTTTAAGATAAAACCCTTGAAGTTTGAAAGAACTACACCTAAACTTACTAATTTTGCAAAACCCTAACCCACCATTCCCATTCATCTTCTTCGACGACGAACACAACAGCGGCGCCATCGAGTTTGACGTGATTCTACGAGGTCGACAACCTGCCCAAGGTTCGTTGTCTCTTTACTCTAGTACTCCATTATTGTGTATCATTATGCTAACCTTAACTTTCCTATCGTCGCAGTCCATCTTCACTACGTGTTTTCCAATGACCACAACGGTAGCGCTTTCGAGAGATTAGGTTTGTACTTTTTTTAATTAGAAATCATTTTGTTATAAAGTTATTTGATTTAGATTGACAGTTTAGGACATTGCACCATTAGATCAACGGTGTAGGGATTTAGATCGTGGTTAGGGAAATGACAATGTTGTACAAATTGAAATCCTTTTGTGCATTTGTCAAAAGGATGACAAGCAGCTTGGCATTGTTAAAAACTGCTGCTGAAATTTCCTCTTTTGATTGGCTCTGTTAATTTCCATTCGGTAAGATCAACCCAAGCGCGTCCGCTCATCTGAGCATCTCGCCCCAATCAAAGTGAAGTAAACAGTAAACAATGTTGTAGTTTCATGTGAAGTTACACTTTTTGTAACTATTCCTCTAGGTAGAATTTGATATTCCTATAAGCAAAATTTATTATGTTTGTTAACTAATAGTCAAAGAAAACCAGCTTAGTAAAAACATGCATTAGATATTGCCTATTACGTGTTATCAAATGCAAACGTCCACTTACATTTATTTCGATTTCCCTTTTACATAAATTAAACTTGTCTATCATGATTTGTATCTGTCATGCTGGAAAGCTAAACTATTTGGCTAGACAGATTCACTGTTTGGTGAAGAAAGGAATTCAATTATTTTATTTTCTTTGTCTGAGTATAGATTGCTAACTATTTTTTGCTGTTTATTTTGCTTTCGGAAATATCAATAGAATTGTGGAGTGTTGTTTTTCTTGGTTTGCTTATTGGTTGTGTTATTGTTTAAAATTGTGAGTGTTGTTTTTCTTGGTTTGCTTATTGGTTGTGTTATTGTTTAAAGAATGGTGATTGTTGTTGTGCAATAACCTCTGTTTTGGGTGTTGTTAATAAGTTGATGCTGTTGTTTATTCTCAAATACTTTGGTATAGTTGTTATAAGTAATAGTTTGCTTGTTTGTACATGGATTAGGTGAAACAATAATGACTCGTTTAACACTAAGCCAAAATGTTTGGTGGCAGTTTTGCTTTTGCCCTTGGACATGCTGGAAAACATGTTCACCATGTTTCTCTTTCTAGGTTAGCATTGCACCTTAGGAATAGGAATCGATCTAGGCGTTCCATAACCTACGCAAGTGAGTTAATTGACAGATGCGAGATTGAATTTAAACTTACAGAACATGATTTTTGAGATTGATGGAGTTTGTCTCGAGAACTGTAGAATGGATAGGAAAGCATTTTTTAAGTATGTAATTACTAGAAAGTCTGGAGGGTTAGTTTCAACTAGACATACCAGTATAGAGGAAATGTAGGTAGTTCCTTCACATCCTTGCGCACCATGTGAAGTATAGGGTTATGAAGAGACAAATATCTACATCAGGTGAGACACTTTCACGAAGTTTCCGTTGTGTTAATAGTTGTGTTGAAATTGCATTCCATTTTACTTAAAAACTAGAGCCAATACCGGAGAATTCAACTGATGAATGCTGGAGATGGTTCAAGGTACATATTTTCCAACGACTACATATAGTTTACATAAAATTCCGGTTTCAACATTATCCACTAACTGTTAGGAAACGACCATTGAGGCAGCAGAAAACAAAACAATAATAACAAGGATCGTTCCATAGAACCAAGATCAGGGTACAATTTACAGTTTATGCCAACAAAATCTTAAAATTAATGTAGAGTTTAAGAAATCATCGCACACATTTGAGGCTCCTCCAAGTTGTCTCTGAATGTATTTTGCTACCGACCCAGTTGTAGGATCGAACTGACGTAGTCCCCACGAAGACAACGAAAGGAACTAAGAGGGATTTGCTAGATCCCTCTTTAGCCTTAAGAAACAAGAGAAATGAAGAGTATTTTGATTTTCAATCAAAACCAAGTCTTGCGTGGGTGAGAGTGTTTTCTCTTTTACAATGAAAATGATTGAAGAATTCAACACTTTTACAATTACAACAATTGCGGTCTTATTATTGTAATGTAGATATCAGAAGAGGAAGGTAGATTGAAAAAGGATGAAGAGGAACAAAAAGAAATGTGGAAGAGAAAGCGTGAGCACGAGGAGCAGTGGGAAGGAACAAGAGAACAACGGGTTTGTTTTTTTTTTTTTTTTTTTTTTTTATTTCGGATCTGATGTTTCACTTAACCAGGAAATTATTAGTTTAGTAGTTCAAACTGACTAATTGGAGCAGAGTGGTTTAAGTAATTTCAAGTGTGGTTTCTCATCTTGTATTATTTTGCTATCAAGTAATTTGCCATAGCCAAAGTGTTAGAAACAATGGAACACATCACCTGGAGTCTATTATTGTCATTTAGCGCATGCTCTTTTGTAAAATGTTTGAATTTGCGATGGTTGGAGTTTCGTGGCAGTGACCCTTCAGTTGTACTAACCGCAGGCTGAACCAAATAATGCTAGACATAGGGATAACATGATCAGAGCACATGAATTTTAGCTTTTCTATTCAGAATTTTGAGAAATGAGGATGATTTTTTCTTGAACATATGAAAATAGAGATCTATTTATCTAAATATTATGTCATACTTTTATGTATACCTTTCTAAATTTACAAGTGTTGGGAACATAAAACAGTAATAAATTTCTCTAAAAACTAGTTTGGTTTATTGGACTACAAGTGATCTCCTTTTCATTTTAATGTCAGGTTTCAAGCTGGAGAGACTTCATGAAGACAGGAAAGAAGGTCAGATAATATATTGATAATTGTTTTAGATGAAACAATCGATTCGTACTAACGACATGAAATCAAGTGCAATTACCTGAAACAATGGTTTTCATTATTGTTTATATGCAGGGTAAGAAAGGAGAAATTCGACCCCCAAAGCTCAAGACAGAGGATCCCAACAAATCTTATGTTCAAAGGCCTGTAAAGCGAGGTTAACTGGCATGGTAGATTTATGATTGCTGTGATTGACAACTACTTGAGTTTTCTCAGTATTTCAAGGCATTGGATGTAGAGTGAAATTGTATGGATTCATAGCCTTGTCTGTAAAAGGGCTTATTACCGCTCAGAAAGAAGCCTTTCAGCTTGTCTTTTGCCTCGTTAAGTGAAGCTAAATTCCGGTTTGGGATTTGATCCTTAATTAGGTTAGAACCATTGAAGGAGAATGTATAATGCATATATTAATATTTACGAGCTATAGCAAGTACTCTTATATACTGTGCCCACGTTCTTTATTCAAGAAAGGGTCAAACTTCTCTGTAACTTTCAAAACTGTCTTCACAAATTTATTTTCCTTGCTACTTACCTTGTTTGAAGGATTCATAGGGGCGAGGCCGAGGCATTATAGATTCAATTAAGCAGCAATGGTTCAACTTCATTTACCAAGAATCAGGGGCGCAGCCAAGATTTTACTAAGGCTGAACTAATTTTTATTTTTTAATAAAAAGCTTATTAATAGTACCAGATTCAACTTTACAGTTTAACGAAGTACATGATATCAATGTATATTAAAAAATGTAGTAACATGCTTAAAACCTAATTTTAATGGAGTGTAAAGAAAATTGAGAAAATAAATCCCTCATCGTTAACTTCCTCATCATCGTCCTCCTCCTCTTCTTCATCATTGGTTGCAGCTTCAGGTGGAACAGGTTGGAAGTCCTGCCATTGGAAAGGTGTCATGTCCGTGTCATGTCCATATCATTGAAGACACTATTGGCGTCGCATCTCAAAGATTGTGTTCAGCTGGCGACCTATCAATTGTTGGTATTGCTTCATGTAGTGCATATCTTCAGTTAATTTCTGCACTTGCTCCTTGATTACATTTGTTTTAAAACCCGATCCGTTATGAGACTCGGCAAAGTGACCAGGTCACGGGTTAACCAGTCCAACCGATTGGATTGATGACGTCAACAACAAAAGTATTTAAAAAAAATTTAATTAGTCCCTTAAATTTTATATATTATAAAAATACCCCCAAAAATTACAAATTAGTCCTTGAAATTTTAATTCATTTAAATGCCCAAAAAAATTACAGTAGTCCCTAAAATTTTGAAACATTGTAAAAACACCCTTACAAAATTTCAACTAGTTCCTATAAATTTGAAATATAGCAGAACCCCTTGGAACCTGAACCGGATCGGAGAGGCTGCCAGGTCTCGGTCGGACTGGTCGGTCCCGTCTGGGTTTAAATCAGAGATTGGTTGTTGTTGTGGATGAGGAGACGCTTGTGGGGCTACTGGATTTTTTGGTGCATCTGTCTTAAGGTTCAGCATATACTTCATATTCAGGATTGGTGCTGGCTGGATCTGGATCTCATCTGGATAGATCTGGACTCTTGCCTTCGTACACAAAGCAGTAATGAGATGAGGGGAAAGATAACTAGCTCTCACTGGTCTAGCTGCGTGCATCATATTTGTCATAATCATCTTTCCTGCATTCATTTTCTTCATTGTGTAGATGGAATAGATCAGGACCCTAGCACTATCCACTGAACTATGATGTGTGACTGGAATCATCTTTGAACACAGAAAATACTGCCAAATTCGAGTGTCAGTGTTCAAATTGTTGCCAGAAACTTTCTTCTCCCATTTTTAGTAATCTGCCAAGTAGTTCCCCGCTTGGCTATCCTCTGACTCACTTCATCTTAGTCTGCATTCCGTAAGAATCTGCATACTCATCATTCTCCACATTCTCCAATCCATAATATTCATTAATAGCAATAGCATTACATGGAACCTGAAAACCTCTAACATAGACTTTTCCTTTTGATTTCAGGGAAGTTGGCATAAAATTCCATTACCAAACGTTGCAAAGATTGAATGGTTGGGCTCCTTGCAGAATTCTCTCATTCCCAAAGCTTGAATCCTATCACTAACCCCAGAGGATGATCTAAGAAATCAAGTCCTCTTTCTTCAATAAAACCTTGTTGCTTCTTAACATCCAATTCATATCGCTTCTTCACATTGTCGCTCACATAACGATCATCAGTGACTTTCGCCTTTCCTCTACTACTTTCACCTCTCTCTTTCCTCTTTTTTACTGCTTGATGCTTCAATGGAGCCATAACAAGAATTCAAGAAAATTTGAAAACCACACTTCAATCACACTCCACTTTCGGTTACACACAAAAAATATCCCACAACTCAATCCAAAACACTCTGCAATCAATACAACAACACTCCATAACACCACAATATCACAACACAAGAATATAGTACCAAAATAACTTCCAACTCCACCTCCACATTTCTCTTCGCAAACCACAATGATTCAACCACTCTCCAAATCACAACCAATTCAATCAATATAGCAAATAAACCAATAGCCAACAATTTTTAACAATAATGAATATCAAAATCACTTCCAAAAATATCCCACAATCACAATAATGCATAAAAATCCCAATCTCAACTAACCCAATCAATTTTTCCATAAAAAGCAATAATAATCAAATTAATTGAAAGGAAACTCTTACTTACTAACAACCCAAGCTAAATACACCTTTGATTGATTGAATTTCCACAAGAATCGCACAAAACCCCCAAATTTTGAAAACGTAGGGTTTTCAAAATAATTCAAAAATCGGCTTCAATCCTGCAAAACAAGGTATTAAATGTGTTTAGAAGTGATTAGACAGTAAAATTTTGGTAGATTTAGGTTAAAAATTGGCTGAAATCGGAGAAAAGTTGAGAGTTTGAGTGAGAGAGTATACACAAAATGAGGTGTCGGCCGCGCACTTCTTTATATACTTTCTAGTTTCGCTGCCGCGAAGAAAAATTCTTTCTACGGAAAAATTGGAAATTCGCTTTACTCTCGAAAATTTTCCCAGCTTCGCCGTGGCGAAAATGGAATTGCACAAATGGTCTTTTAGACTCCAGGGTTTTTCGCTATGGCAAAATAAAATTTTCGCCACGGCAAAACTGAAATTTCCAATTTTGCCTTTCTTTTCAACTCCCTTCCTGAAACCACAAACAAAACTTACATATTATTAACATAACAACACTTAGGGTGTGGTTGGTTAGGGCTGTATAAAGATAACTGCTGTTATCTATTTTTTTTTTTTTTTTTTTTTTTTCAGCAATTTCCGCTTTTGGTTTGAAGGTTAAAAAATACGACGGTATTGTTTATTTGTCAATAATGAACATTGTGGATGAACTTTGGAGTAATAAGATAACCTAGTCTAGGGGTGGTATTTGACATTATCGGGTTTATTTTTTTTTTTTTTAATCCAAATTTGTCATTACATATCAATCACTTGGGACATAATTGCCTTAAATATATGCCTAATAAGAAATATGTCATTTTAGCAGAAAAAAGACATTTGTAACCTTATTTAATAATATTTTAAGATAAAAAGGCCCTGAAGTTTGAAAGACCTACACCTATAACTTACTAATTTTGTGAAACCGTAACCCACCATTCTCATTCATCTTCTTCGACGAACACAACAGCGACGACATCGAGTTTGACCTAATCTCTAGACGATGTCGACAACCACGCCCAAGGTTCGTCGTCTTCCTTTACTCTGGTACTCCATTATTGTGTATCATTATGCTAACCTTGACTTTCCTATCGTCGCAGACCATCTTCACTACGATGCTTTCCAATGACCACAAGCAGTAGCGCTTTCGAGAGATTAGGTTTGTACTTTTTTTAATTAAAAATCATTTTGTTATAAAGTTATTTGATTTAGATTGACGGTTTAGGACATTGCACCATTAGATCGATAGTTTAGGGATTTAGATCGATGGTTTAGGGAAAGGAACAATGTTGTACAAATTGAAATCCGTTTGTGCATTTGTCAAAAAGGATGATAGGGCAGCTTGGCATTGTTAAAAATGTTAGAGTAGGTGACCTAGAGCCAATCAATTATTGTAGAATTGACTCTTTGTAATAATGTTCATTGATCAATAAAAGACATTTTATTCTATATCGCGCAAATCATCATTGTATATATTGATATATATCCTTAGAATGATAGAACCGTTGCGAGGGTATTAAGTGTTTTAAATCTTGATAGTGAGAACCCTATGAGCACATATGGTGGCCATTTTAGAAACGTCTGTAGCCCTAGTATTATTCTGAAGTAAGGGCACAGATAATACAGTAAGACCATCATAGTGTTGAACGACCGTGTCGAAAGGCAATGACTGATCTCACTTGTCAAGGTTGTTTGGTGACAACCTGGTGAAACACATGGGTGCTTGCTATAGGCAAGTTCACTGGACTAACCCACCAGAGGATTCCATGTGGATGGTAACCCTAGTGTTTATCGAACAAATCCTCTAACGAATGGTGGTGCATGTGATCTTTAGACTTGAGATCACCGGAGCGCCTTGTGTATCGATTGGTGCAATTTGACACTAGCCCAACGTAGTTCTATTCAAATGTCACGCCTGAGGATCCACACAGGAATGTCTCTCGGTGCCCACACAGGTACGTGACTCACTAGGTACTGTCCCCCCCCCTTAAGGGATTTCTTTCGCCTCCCCCATCACTTGAACCCAAGACCAAGGGGCTATAGTCAATTGGGAAGCATGGTGAGTACCATCAGGCTAGCTGTGGGCACCGCAAGGGACTCCTGTGTGGGGCCGCGGGTGTGACAATAAAAAGGCGTCTTTTTATTGTCACGCCCGAGGATCCACACAGGAATGTCTCTCGGTGCCCACACAGGTACGTGACTCACAAAGTACTGTCCCCCCCCTTAAGGGATTTCTTTCGCCTCCCCCACCACTCGAACCCAAGACCAAGGGGCTATAGTCAATTGGGAAGCATGGTGAGTACCATCAGGCTAGCTATCCCTTAAGGGGGGAGGACAGTACTTTGTGAGTCACGTACCTGTGTGGGCACCGAGAGACATTCCTGTGTGGATCCTCGGGCGTGATATCAAAGCTGTCAATACGGTAGTGATTGGCTGCATCAAGGAGTGTATCCAGACTATGGTGGTCAACAGAGGATTCATCGCTCCCGGGTACGGGGGAAGTTATCTCATGGCGCAATTCAGTAAATGACAATGATACTAAAACTGTGGCCATAGTGGGATTGAGTTGTTGCTCTATCCAGTTTATAATTCCGGTCATTGGTCCAGTAACTGAATACACACATATCGAGAGTAATTGAGGTTGACACTATTTCTATGCCTCGGTCTCGTTGAGATAACGGATGATGGAATGATTGGATTGTACGGTAACCATATCGTTGACAGGTAGCTGCTTTGCTGAATCCGAATCTATCGGGTGGCCATGATGCCTTGCTAAGGGCCAATCTTGGTCTGTGTATAGTGAGACGATTAATTGGTGTTAATCGCGATACTACACACTACCGGTATGATGAGGAGCCTACGGGTCACACACAGAAGATAATTTAAGAGCCAGTTTATAAGAAAGACATTTTCGTCTTTTTAGGCGAAAGGGTATTTTGGTAATTTCATAGTGCAATTAAATTTGCTAAGGTCGTAGCCTTTATTTAATTTGTTAATAAAATTAAATAAGTGAAATTATATTTAAATATATGTTAACATATATTTAAATGAATTATTGTTAGTGTTAAATGTTAATATATGAAATATATATATTAATTGAATTTAATTGAAATAACAATAATAATTATTAAAATATCTAAATGGGGCTGTTTGGACATAGGAGTTGTTTGGGTTGGTGCCCAAGCCCATTCCATGATGGAATAGGGCACAGTGTGGACTATATAAGTGCAAAACTTTGTGAAATAATTAAAAAATAGAATTCATTTTTCATTCACAAAGCAAAAACTCCAGCCCTCTTCTCTCCTACACCAGATTGCTTTTTGCTTGAAACAAAGTTTGCTTGATTTCTTCTTGGTTCTTAAGGCTAAAGATGATCTAGCAAATCCCTCTTTAGTTCCTTGGGGTTGTCTTCGTGTGGACTACATTAGTTTGATTCTACTCTTGGGTCGGTAGCGAAATCTGTTCAGAGACAAGTTGGAGGAGCCTCCAAATGTGCGTATGATTTCTTAACCCTAGACTGAATTTCCTGCAGATTCTTATTTAATGTGTAAACTGTAAATTTGTGCCCCGATCTTCGTTCTAAGGAACGATCTATGTTGTAAATAATTTTTTGTTTTCCGCTGTCATGACTTGGTCATTTTTTCCTAACAAAAAACTGTTGCTGAAATTTCCTCATTTGATCGGCTCTGTTAATTTCCATTCGGTAAGAGTCAACCCCAAGCGCCGCCGCTTATCTGAGCATCCGTCGCCCCAATCAAAGCGAAGTAAACAGTAAACAATGTTGTAGTTTCATGGTGAAGTTACACTTTTTGTAACTTATTCCTCTAGGCAGAATTTGATATTCCTATAAGCACAGTTTATTATGTTTGTTAACTAATAGTCAATAAGAAAACCAGCTTAGTAAAAACATGCATTAGATATTGCCTATTACGTGTTTATCAAATGTAGACTGTCCACTTACATTTAATTTGGATTTCCCTTTTTATTGTAAATTAAACTTGTCTATCATGATTTTGTATCTGTCATGCTGGAAAGCTAAACTATATTTGGGCTGGACTTGGTGAAGAAAGGAATTCAATTATTATTAGTTTGCTTTGTCTGAGTATAGATTGCTAACTATTTTTTGCTGTTGATTTTTGCTTTCGAAAATATCAATAGAATTATGGAGTGTTGTTTTTCTTGGTTTGCTTATTGGTTGTGTTATTGTCTAAAGAATGGTGATTGTTGTTGTGCAATAACCTCATGTTTTGGGTATTGTTGAATAAGTTGATGTTGTTGTTTATTCTCAAATACTTTGGTATAGTTATTCTTAAGTAATAGTTTGTTTGTTTGTACATGGATTAGGTGAAACAACCATGGCTCGTTTAACACTAAGCCAAAAGTGTGTTTGGTGGTAGTTTTGCTTTTGCCCTTGGACATGCTGGAAAACATGTTCACCATGTTTCTTTTTCTAGGGTTAGCATTGCACCTTAGGAATAGGAATCGATCTAGGCGTTCCATAACCTACGCGGGTGAGTTAATTGGTAGATGTGAGATTAGGAATTTAAACTTACAGAACATGATTTTTGAGATTGATGGAGTTTGTCTCGAGAACTGTAGAATGGATAGGAAAGCATTTTTTAAGTTATGTAATTTACTAGAAAGTCGTAGGGGGTTAGTTTCAACTAGACATACCAGTATAGAGGAAATAGTAGGTAGTTTCCTTCACATCCTTGTGCACCATGTGAAGTACAGGGTTATGAAAAGACAAATATCTAGATCAGGTGAGACACTTTCACGAAAGTTTCACATTGTGTTGAAATTGCATTCCATTTTACTTAAGAAATCGGAGCCAATACCGGAGAATTCAACTGATGAATGCTGGAGATGGTTCAAGGCACATATTTTCCCAACGACTACATATAATTTACATAAAATTCTGGTTTCAACATCATCCACTAACTGCATCAATGTTTTCTTATTTTTTTGTGTTGTTAGAACTGTTTGGGTGCACTGGATGGAACATACATCAGGGTTCACGTCGACGCCAGTGATAAACCTAGGTATCGAACACGAAAGGGTGAAATTGCAACGAATGTGCTTGGTGTTTGCTCACCTGACATGCAATTTATTTATGTTCTCCCTAGGTGGGAAGGTTCAGCTATAGATGGTAGAGTGCTAAGGGATGCCATTAGTAGGAGAAATGACTTAAAGGTCCCTCAAGGTACATCTTCAATCGAATTTGCTTGTACATGTTAGGATAGAGTGACATAGTATATGTTTATATGGATTCTGACATGTGAAATTTCATGATAGGGTGTTATTACTTATGTGATTCTGGATACACCAATGGAGAAGGGTTCTTGGCCCCATACAGGGGGCAACGATACCATTTGAATGATTGGAGGCAAGGCCAACAACCGAGAATAGCCTAAGAATATTTCAACATGAAACACTCTCAGGCAAGGAATTGTATTGAGAGGTGTTTCGGCATACTGAAGAAGAGATGGGGTATTTTGAGAGATGCATCCTTCTGCCTTATCAAAACCCAATGTCAAATAATTTCTGCCTGTTGCCTACTTCATAATTTCATTAGGAGTGAAATGACAATATATCCAATTGAGAGTGAAGTTGGTGAAGTTTCCAATACCCATGATGATGATGATGATGATGTTGATGGTGACGTAATATGGGACGTTAAGACGACAACATTAGCCTTTCTAGCAAAAACTATCCTGTATATGCCATATGCAACTAATTCACAGAACAAATGTCAAGAATAACTTACTCTACACGACGTCCAACTGCAGTTTGTCACGGAAGGATTGAAATTCATCTGTACCAAAATAGATAAAAAAAATCAACTGCATCATTCTTTCTACATTTTAGTATACAAATGTCAGTATTTTCCCAATGTTGTTGCACTTACAAAGTAAGGGTACCCTTCAGTTACAGAATAACATGATGGGGCTCCTTGCACGAACTTCAGTATGTAGTAAAGGACAAAATACCCACAGTCTGTTTGGTTTCTCTGCTGGGGAACCTACATTCAATTGGAGTCATTAACTCAGTCAACGTACAGTCATACGGTAATACATAACCAAAATTTTATTTTGGTTCAAGGCCATAGTAATGACCTTCGACAGTAGGAAAGGTATTTCAGCAACACTATCCATCTTCTCTGTCATTTTTTATTTTCATAAATATCGCAAGCAAACCTATCAAGCAAGTTGGGAAATGTAAATCGCTAAAAACAACTAAAACTTAGAAACTGTGGATAGACATGGATCTGGACCAGAAAGAGGTTTAGGTTTTAGGAGATCTTACTTTCTTATCAAGGGTTCAAACCTCATAGGGTCTACCGATCTAAGGGAATCCAGTAATAACATGCAACTGGTGTTGGGTTTTGAACTCATTTTTTCCCCTAAAGTTGCATAGAATCAACAGACTCCAATGACCCCTGCCCATATAGAAACGCAATGTGTTAGCATCCTCGAAATAGAGAAGTAATAAGGAGACAACATGTAAATACAGTGCACATTAACTAACCAGAGTACAATGGGAATGAATACACATTTCTTCTACAGTATATCCTCTTTTTGAACCCATCTCAACACCTTCCGCCTATGTGATCGTTGTAAGTACAAATAAAACCACATGGAATCAAGGCACTTGAAATTTGACATGTTAACATCTCCCCAACCTTTCCATAATTTCCTGTCATAACCCAATGTATAAACACATGTAAAAGCATCAGGTAAATAGCTTTCGAATTAAGAAAAGAAGCATACCCAGGTGTCGGTCAAATATACTATTGCTCAACATTCCATGCTCTCTATTGGTGGCAATGCATTGACTCATATGTTGTGGAGGTTTAACACCTATTACGCAAATACAAATGGTTAACACTTCAACAATAATTTTATAGGGCAATTTAAGAATCTAAGTTACTTGTACCATTGCCTTCATAAGTTTTCTTAGCGCAAACCGGGCGACTAACTTCTACGACTCCATCCCTTCCCTGAGGGGAAATCTTTGCTCGTGTAAATGGTGTTGTTACCTGAAATTGGACAAAAATAACGCAATTAGTCAATTTCAGTTCTTCATGATGGGTGCTATGAAATAACAGTCCATAGTCATTTTAATTATACCTTGCATCTCTTAAATAACTGTTGGTGCACAGGACTATTTGCTATCATTAATAAAGTATTGACAACATAAATATGAGATACACAACTGAACTCATGTCAATCACACATGAACACTATTTCCATACATTAACTTAGATAAGTTGGGTTTACAAAAACAAGTTACTTACATAGCAAACTATACCCTTTACAAGGTACAGTTAAGTGCAGAGACAATGCACTACCACTGGTAAGCTAATTGCAAATACATCCACCATTCTTACAATGCAAAATACCCAGCATCCCCCCAATCTAGCCAAAAACTACCATATTCATGCAATGGATAACACTAACTTAGACAGCCCAGTTCGCTAAAATAAGACGTCATTGCTCAAATCAAAATAAGCTAACATTAATTTAATCTAAATGATCAAACGATGGTCGATACATATTACTTTCAGATAGCTGTTCCTCACATACTCTCGCCTAACTTCCATCAGTAACCCAAAGAAAAAATCCATTTTATGGGGTTCCTTGGCAATTGCCTCGCCAACCTCCAGCATCTAATCTAGTGTAAACTTATCCAATTCGAAAATATCATTGAACAACAACCTCCTCTTGTCCTCCAAAGACTCTCGTTTGAAAAACAAGGCAATGTCCTTCATTTCTTCATGGGATCCTTGAACTGTTTTGCCAAACACGCCTATTTGTTCCATGAAACTATCTTGGCTCTTATCCTTTGCCTTCCTCTTGCTATTGTGGATTGTCCTTCTACCGCGGCTAGCAGTGGCTGTCCACATCTTCCTTCATTGGGACATTACTGTGGCCCTCTATCTCCACCTCCACCTCGACATCAACATCCATGCCAACGTCATGGATGTCGGCAATCTGTAATACCCAAGATATCAAAGGTATGTTCCTAACTAAAAATAGTCCTTTAGATGTTAATTTTATGTTAAAAAGCATAAAATCTAACTAAGGGCAAAATAGTCAATTCATTTGGAATGATATGAATTAATTATCCATAGAAAGGTATTAGGGGCAAAATAGTCATTTCGCCTATGGATAAGCATTGAAAAAGTCAAGGATGAGTTGGCTTAATTGCATTTAATGGCATTAATTAAGTAATAATTATGTTTAGTGCGAAATGACCAAAATGCCCTCATATGAAGAATTAAGGACTTATGAGTTATACAATTAAAATAATTGGGCCAATAGCATAATTTTGGAAAATTAATGAAATATTTTCCTATAAATGAGAGGAAATTCGTTCAAGCCAAGGGAGAGAGCATTTCTTCAACCTTTCTTCCATTTTCTCTCAAATCCTCCATGAAACAAGCTTTCTCTCTCTAAGTTTTAAAGGAGTTTTGCATAATTTTTCAAGGAGAACAAGATAGGAGCCTTGGATCTTCAAGTTGAAGGGTTTAAGGTAAGGATTAAAAACCATAGGTTTGATGTGATTTGAAGATTTGAAGTAGATGTTGAGGTATAATGTTATATATGTAGGATTAAGGTGTAAAAGAAGACAAAGGCAAAGGATTTGTTGGAGGAATTCTTTAAAAAGGTAAGGAAGAACCTCCCATGACTTTAGGGATTATGCTAGGGTTTGTAGATTTTAATGCAACCTTAAATTTAGGCTTTAAGGCATATAATTAGTTGATGGCAAGTGTAGTTGAACTCATTTATTCTATTTATTGCCTTGAATTCATTATACATGAAGTTATTGCTATTTATGTTTTATGAGTTGTTATGATTGATTGAAGAAACTGAAGTGTGGATGTTGATTGTGGCAAAACTTGTAGTATTGGAGGACACATGGCATTGAATGGTTGTTATTAGAAGTGTTGATGTGTTGTTTGCATTAGTTTACAATGTTATACCAATAATGGATGATTATGGGAAAGAGATTTTACACTTCCTTTAAGATGTTAAAGACTATTAAGGGGAGGTTTATTTGATCCATTAGTTGACCTATTGGTTAATTGTCAATAGGAATTGATGTGGCATAGTTTAATATGAAAAATTCGGATTTGGTAAGCTTAGGGATTATGTTAAACATGCTTCAGTATTTCGACCATAACTTGAGTTATAAAAATCGAAATGAGATGATTCTTGAAGCACTAGAAATTTAAGACATAGCCCTACAACTTTTATGTTTAGTGCAAGAGCCAATTTGTTTAGAAAATGGATGGAAAATGGCCTGAAGTATAAGCTTCTAGTTATTAAAGTTTAAGATTTAACATAATTAATTCTTATGATTATGAATTGATTACATATTGATGTGATTAAGCCATGTACTAATGTTTACCCATTAGGTAGATGATGAATGTGAACAAGAGGTAATGTAAATGGATTGATAATCCATAGATGAATTAAAAGTATTAAGCTCACTAAAATATGTATTTAAATGCCATAAGATGTTAGAGATGCATATAGACATGATAGAAAACGCGTAAACATATCCTCGTATACCGATTGAGGAAAGATGAATATATGCTTTAGATGCTAAATAACACGTAAGCACGCCTCCCGATGATATGAACTCTAGATGAATTTGAGGCTAGATGAAATGAAGTGCTTAAGACGCTAAGAAAAGTCTGATCGGCTACACGTTAAATGCTTCATATGTTACATGATATTTAGATGTTATATCATGGCATGTAATGTGTGTGTATCATGTTTACATACTTATTTGTATGTGTATGCATTGATGTTTATATAGCCATGGGATAAAATGATGAAAAACATATGAATTGGAAAGAAAAAAAAAAAGGAAGTATACCTAGATGTAAAAGATAAGTGGTGTGTTAACAAATATATTTAAATGAAGGTCAAATATCACATTTAGAATGAAATGGATCATTCCTTACTGAGCGATTAGCACTCACCCTTTCATTGTTGATTGCTTTGTAGGTAGACCAGAAGCGAAGGATGCTAGAGACAGCGGGCTACACGTGAGGGGAGATGATTTATTGTCATCTTGATATTTTTATCTTGATGTAAATAATGTAAATAGTAAATGTTTGTGAAACACCTTTGGAAGCTTCCACCCTATAAATATGTTTTGATTGTGTAAGTTCCGGATAAATTCATAAAGTTTTTGAAATTATAAGTTTGGATCCTGATAAATTCATAAAGTTTTTGAAATTATAAGTTTGGATCCTGCGTGACATCTTATATGCATGTTTTCGATATTATTGTTATCTTTATACAAGTTTTTTTCTAAATACAACTCGTTCTCCAGACATGTATCCCCGGGATTCTCATTGAGGGATATTCAGAGGATACCTAACTGGAGGGGAGTTTTACATGATCTCTTTTTCCAATTCCTCAACCGCATCGGCAAGGGTCTTAACATTCATGCCAGTTGCTCGGTCTTTCCCAAAAATGAACAGTAACCTATCGTAGTGGGGAAAGGGTTTGTGACGCAACCTTTTTGCTTTAGGGTGACTCTGCAAAAAATAAATAATAAAATTGGTCAAAAAGATGTAAACAAGGTAATCAAAAGAATTGCATGTGTAAATTGTAATTGAAAACATGTAATTATATGGGCTGCAACCATAGACCACTTATGTAATAACTGCTTTATACTAGGATACTCATAGAAATATATCAAGTAAAATATATTTATATTAGCAAAAGTAAATGGGCCCAAA